ACATGCTCGAGCTGGGCTCGCCATGCATGTCTGAGTTAGGCCCACCATGCATGCCCATGTCATAACCACTAGGCATTCCAAACCCGCGTTCCCTCTGGTATGTTTCATGTAAACTCATTCTTGTAGCCATCTCCAAGTCATTATTATATTGCTCTTCTGGATCATTCCCGCTTGATGGTGTATATAAACTAGCTACCTCCTCATCCATCCTCTACTTTGAAATTTTTTTACCTTTGGTAGCCTTGAGAAATGTTATCATATGCTTTCTTACATTATTAGGGATACTATTATACAAAAAAACATCTCCTTTAACCCCTGCCAAGTGTTGCTTGAACCTATGTACCCCATTACTTATCACTCTTTAGCAGTAATTACAAATATGTTTGTCTTTTTGTTGGGATCAAGTCTGACCCCATGTTGCCATGCAGAATCTTCCGCAGATCTTGCCATGGTTTAACTTTAAAATGTTAAATGTTAAAAATTAACCTAATAGTTGAACATGAAAAATAATCACCATGTGTAGTGATAATATGTAGGGGTAGTTCATGAAGTTATATTTGTTTTTAATGCAAAATACTTCTATTAACGAAAATATTTTAATTCCTACTTGGAAAAATAATTTATTTATGCAACATTATAAGTAAAAATAGCCTATATCAGCCACTACATATAAAGCAATAAATTTACATTGATATAGTATCAATAAAAAATATATTTACAATGGTATAGTAATTCACAATGCCAATACATAATGGACTAGTCACAAATCTTCATTTCGACAAACATAAATTAGTTCCTATTGAGAAAAAAAAATATTTATGCAACATTATAGATAAAAAAAAGTCTGTATAAGTCACACTTTGAATCAAGAAAAAAATTACATTAATATAGCCATCCATAATGCGAATACACGTATATTTGATACAAAAACCATTTACAATGATATAGTCATTCACAATGCCACAAATAAAATTTACAATGATATAGTCGGCGCAATCCGAACTCGATTGAAATGATCACAAATAGTCGTATATCTCAATTACAAATATGCAAGATAATATAATAAAAAATGCAAGCACCAAACATGGCTATATCTCGATTATCAAGAACATACATTTTTGCATTAAAAATTTAATAATAAAATTGAAAAATTGCAAGATAATATAATTATCATATATGCGACAATTTTTTACGAGGATATTCACTTTAATTCCTCATGACAATATAGTTTAACAACATGTATTTTTTGCATTAAAAATTTAAAAAATTAAAAATATTTTTTAATGCAAAACTGTATTAAAAATAAAATACACTTTAACAACATGTACTTGTTAATGTATTTTTTCGCATTAAGAACAAATTAAAAAATACAGTTTTGCATTAAAAATATAATAACATGTATTTTTTTTGCATAAATAATCTATCAACATGCATTTTTTTGAACTAGAAATTTAACAATAAAAATTAAAACTATTGTTTAATTCCTAATGATAATCAAAAACAATATTTCGGAAAATCACGATTTCTCAAAAAAATAGATCATGAATAAATAAAGAAAAAAACCCCGTTCTTCACATACCAACCTAACATCAGTCATTCCAATTAAAAAATCTGCCTCAAATCGAATAAACTAAATTAAATTGAATACATGTTTTGATAAACAACACTATAAGGAATCAAAGCCCTATACTATTAATACATTATTATCAAAATATTAAATAAAATCAATTGAATAGAGGCAAAAAAAAAAAAACGCAGTCCTTCACAGACATCAGTCATTCAATCTCAAATATCAAGCTCAAATTGAATAAATCAGATAAAATTGAATACATGTGATGATAAGCAACACTATAACAAATCAAAACCCTATAAATTCAACACAGTATTTGCAAAATATTTATTGAAATTGAGAGAATGGCGGAAAAAAAAAAAAAAAACTCAATCTATTTTTTTTTAACAGACATCAGTCTTCTTTTCTCAAAAATTCCACTCAAATTGAATAAATATAATCAAATTGAATAGATGTGATGATAAACAATACTACAACGAATCAAAACCCTATAAATTTAATACATGATTCTCAAAAATTTGATTGAATTTGATCGCATGGCGGAAAAAAAAAAAAACACAGTTCTTACTTGTTCTTAATGCACCTGTGCCTTCAAACTCAAAATTGATAATGTCTTCCTCCAAGATAATCACAAAGTATGAACAAAAAATTATGACCAACACTCTTACGATCACTCACCCTGAAATTTTATAGAAAATGATGCGTTCTTTCGTTTGAAATCAGTGAAATGATGGAAACCCTAAAACTCACTCTTCGATCCAAATTTGTTCGTAAAACACGGTGCTTTTTAATTCGTTTTATTGACTGAAATGGATGAGAAATTTGAATTAAAGCTTGCAAGATTCGTTCATAAGGTTGAAAAAGTTGAAAATCGATAATAAAATGACAAAAAAAATTTAAATCCCGTGAAGAACAATATACAGCCCGTGTTCTTGCGGGTGACTAGGTCTGACTCGTGATTCACTATTGAGAATCACCCGGTTCTCTCTGGACACGGGCGATTCTCGATTTATTCGTGGAACCGGCTCGGTATCAGGCGATTCTCGAGTCGAACCAGGCGAGTCCCGCTTGACTCGGCTCTGTATAAACTTTTCTTTATCTTAGTACAATGTGTTCATAATTAATCTTGACAATTGAATGTGAAAATAGGTGGTTGCATTTATTTCATTGACTAAGCTCAAATGTCAAAAAGAATTTTCTCGAATTTTGTGAAACACCTAAACTATCAGATTTCACATTGGATGGTCATAATTAATTGTGATCTTCTTGTACTAAAGGTAAATGGTCCCATTGTATACAATCACATTTCAATTGCCTCGGACGTATCACAATGTGATTTGAAATTTCTCAAAATACTATGGTAAAATGTTAAATAGTTCAAATATTAGGTTTATTTTAATAAATTTCCCTAAAAAGTAAAAGACAAAATAGAGAAAAAGAGGGTTGGTCCAAGGCAGGCCAAACCATGTAGGACTTGTTGTGGCCCTGGCTTAGGCAAGACCAGTCAAGCTTGCCCCTACTCTAGGGCTATGGTGGTTTGGCCCTACCTTGGGCCCTTGAGCTACATTTTGTAGCCCATGCCTAGTTTTTTAGAGATGGGCTAACTGGGCTAGACTGGCCCACCTTGCCCATTGCCACCCCTAGTTGGAGCCTCTTATGTGGTAAGATTACTAAAATACCCCTACTTGTTTAGGTTTCCAACCCGAACACCGTCAATCTGGATGCATTTAAAGATATTTTCTAAGGTAACCACGTGAAATAAGAATAATAAAGAAAGCTCTCTTGTATAATTAGGGAATTTTGATCGGTGTTAGATTCGCTTCGCTTCAATCGAAGAGATTGAAGCCTTCGGATTTTGGGCCTAGATCGAAGTGAAGTGAAGCCCGGTGCTACCGTTTTGGCCGCTTCAATCAGCTTTGGGTGGATTTGGCTAAAGCAAATAAATATTTATAACAAAGTAATTTTTCTTTATTTGTTTATCTTTAAACTCTTCCCAATGCCTATAGGTGAAAATGAACAGTGATTTCGCCTACTCTCATCACCATCCAAACTTCATCGCATGGTCACAATTGTCTGGTAGTGTTTCAATTTTCATTTTTTTTCTACAA